GTCCCTGAGCTCTGAGCCTCAGCACCACTTCCCATTTTCTGGTGGTTTAATGGAGATCAGAGTCTCATGGACTTTGCTGCCCAGGCTGGCTTTGAACTGTGATCCTCAGGTCTCAGCCTCCTGAGTAGCTGGGATGACAGGCGGGAGCGCCGGCCTGGGCGGCTGGCAGGAGTACATTTCCCTTTGAACAATGTCACCCTGATCGTGTGATTTCTAGTGGCAGAGCATCAGCCTTGAGTTCCCAGCCTGCTGCAGACAGTGAGTTCATTTTTATTTTTTTGCCAGTCATGGCACCTGAACTCTGGGCCTGGGCGCTGTCCCTCAGCTCTTCAGCTCAAGGCTAGCGCTCTAGCACTTGAGCCACAGCACCACTTCTGGCTTTTTCTGCTTATGTGGTGCTCAGGAATCGAACCCAGGACCTCATGCATGCAAGGCAAGCACTCTACCACCTGCCCAGCTGGAGGCATAGCTCAGATGGTAGACCATTTGCCCCGCAAGAGTGAGGCCCTGAGGGGGCTGGGCAGGTGGCTCAGTGGTAGAGCGCTTGCCTTGCATGCCTGAGGCCCTGGGTTCGATTCCTCAGCACCACATAAGCAAAAAGAAAAATAACGCCGGAAGTGGGGCTGTGGCTCAAGTGGTAGAGCGCTAGCTTTGAGCTGAAGAGCTGAGGGACAGCGCCCAGGCCCAGAGTTCAGGCCTCACAACCAGACACCCCCTCCCTAAAAAAAGAGTGAGGCCCTGAGTTCAATTCTTAGTATGGACAAAACATCTAGATGAATGGATAGATTAACAACAAGCAAGAACATTCCTTGGAGCCGGGCTTGGGGTTCCCAGGGTAGATGGGGGGGCTATTGTAATGAGGGTAGTAGGTAGGTCATAGGGCTTGAACTCAGGACCCTGAGTTTCCTGCCCAGGCTGGCTTCGAACCGCGATCCTCAGGCCTCAGCCTCCTGAGTTGCCGGGATGGCAGGCGGGAGCCACAGGCCGTGTCCCTCACCTCCCTCTTGCTCACCCTCTCAGCCTCCTGGCCTGATCGAGAACATTCCAGGAAGTAGAAACCGGCACCTGTCAGTGAGCGAAGGGTCAGGGACCGAGTTCGAGTCCTGCTCTGTGAGCTTAAATAGAGAGGGAGAGAGAGATCCAGCCAGCTCCGGGATGCAGAGGCCAGGAGCCAGGCCAAGAGGGGAGACTAGGACGGCAGGGGGGTGAGGGGAAAGATGGGGGGCT